CATAGATTAAATTTTTTTGTTTTGTGGCGGGAATCAAATTCTTTATAATCGTTCTTGGTCTTCTCCTTCATTGGGAGGGAATGGGGGACTTGTTGATCAAATAATAACTATTTATTGGTCCTGATGGTGGATAATCCTTTTGCAGGTTTTTCATGGTCAACCCTTGCCTACTACCATTCCTGCTGCTCCACATCCACCAGCAATGCGTCCAAGAGTCCGAGCTAGAAGAGGACAAGCTACAGATCCACACAGTATAGCTGAACGGGTGAGCTTCGTAATATTTACATGAATCAAGATTGTCTGCTTTCTGTGCTCTTTACAATTAAAGTTGGGCATAAACTGTTGAAAATTCACAATTACTAGTTCCTTGATTATGCGCATGTTTTCTGATTCTTCATTTCACCTTTGAATGACAGTTGCGCAGAGAAAGAATAGCAGAAAGAATCAGGGCTTTGCAGGAACTTGTTCCCAGTGTCAATAAGGTAGTGACTTCGACATGCCTATATGACAGTTTATTAGAAAAGGTGGTTTTGTGTTTGTTTGATCAAGTGGAGTTTTGCATGTAAATAGTAGAAAACTCAGGGTTTCTGTTTTTGGTTTCATGTTTGACCTGAAAAGTTGGAGAATAGATAGAGATTTTGTTGGATAACAATTGCAGGGATGTATCTAATATGATATGCTGCACTTTAATTATAGCCCCAATTTGTAAATATCTAGAAGTATATCCTGAGAAACAAAACTGAGTTACCTGTCAATTACAAAAAAAAAAAAAAAAAAAGTAAAGCAGTGCTGAAAGTATAGCAGTTAGAGGTGTGCATTTGACTGATGTTTTGGTAGTTAATGAATTATTCATACTTCTGTAGAGAATAACCATCTTCTCTTCTTCTTCGTGAAGCCAATTGCCTTCAGTATGAGTTTAATAAAGTAAATGCCATTATTTACAAAATGTGAACTTTGGACATTGTTTGACACAGCTTGCAGAAGTGTGCAAGGGCAACTTAAAATGTCAATATATTGATTTTCTATTTATTTTATCTTCATTACTTTTGGAAAGGAAGGATAGTTTACCCGATAAAAGGAGGAGGCAATATCAACAACGACAACAAGAACAAATAATATTGAGGAAGGAGTTTTAATTGATATTCTAGCCTTTCCTTTCCAAGCATTAAATGTGAAGAATGTGGCTTTTTATACGAAGTTATTTGAGGAAAAAAATGGGAATTCCTCTTGACAAATGATTAGATGCAACTAGTTGGATTCATCAAGCACAATAGCTGTGTTCAACTAGTCCTGAAAATGGCACCTGCTGTGGTGGTCCCTATTGAATGCTCAGATGTTTAAATTGAGTATGTTCTATTATTATATATAAAATCTCTTGACCAACATATCCAATGTGTTTTCATGCTACACTTCAAATTTTGCATGCATTATGTTGAAAAACTAATCAAGCAAATTATTATTATTATTATTTTTGGTTCTACTGAAATTCCTGACATAGCTATTGTTATAATTAGAAAATGGAGAAGTGATTTACAATCTTTAAGGCTCACTTGTGTGGTGTTTGCGTTTCTCAACATTATGGCTATGTAGTGTTTGTGTTTCTCACTTTAAGAAGATCATTTTCAAGATCCCATTGATTCTAATATTGCTCTGCGGTTGTACTCTGTTCAGACAGATAGAGCTGCCATGCTAGATGAAATTGTGGATTATGTCAAGTTCTTGAGGCTTCAAGTTAAGGTAGATGCACCTGTGCTCCTCCTGTATTTTATATTCATGTTTTAATATCTTAACACTGATCTTAATATTATCCTAAACACCTTGTCTTTCTACATAATGAAAAACAGCTTTTAATGTGATTTCATGGTTTCACTCGTTACCCAAGTTGCTTAGTCAACGCCATTATATTTCCTCTCATTGGGCTTATTGATTGGGATCCGCTTGGCATTGAACCCTACTAATGTTAGTTGCCACTGTGGATTAGAGTCCTTTGACCGATGCATTTTATAGAGTCCAATTTAAATCAATTTTCTTGGATTTGTTGATGAGTGTTGAAAACTTCTACTGACAGTTATTTATCATCTGGCCTTTCAGGTTTTGAGCATGAGTAGATTGGGCGGAGCTGGTGCAGTGGCACCGCTGGTAACTGACATTCCATTGTCGTCGGTTGAGGTAATTAGTCTGAAGAAATATGATTTGCCGAGATTTATTATTAGTTCACGTATTGACGAGTATGGTATTGATCAGGAAGAAGGAAGTGAAGGTGGAAGAAATCAACCAGCTTGGGAGAAATGGTCAAATGATGGCACAGAAACACATGTGGCCAAGCTTATGGAAGAAAATGTTGGGGCTGCCATGCAGTTCCTTCAATCAAAGGCTCTTTGCATCATGCCCATCTCGCTGGCATCAGCGATATACCAGTCACAGCCACCGGACACCTCCAGTATAGTCAAGCCAGAAACTAGCCCTCCTTCATAGAACGCAGGCACCGGGGTTCACGATCCAACGGCCCCATCTACGGCTCACCTAATACTGCTGGGACCCACAGGTTATTTGTCTGTTCCAAATCCCCCCATGATTTTAGTCATTGGCTCGCGTCAAGTTGCAATCAAAGTCAGATGCCATAGCTCTTTCTTTTTTAGCCTTTCTTTCAGCTTTTGTCAATACAGGGTTCGATGTCAATGCCCAAGAAAATATAAGTGGACCCCACCATGTCTGATCAAATTTCAATTAAAGGGTAAGAAATTGTCAAAGTTCATTTAATATAGATTTGCTTTTCTTTTTAGTATGAATGCGTGGGGGTAGTGGAACATGATGGAAGCACTTTTATAGTGGGGCTTAGTTTTCGTTGTGGGCTGTGGGACCTTGTTAAAAGGTTAGAATGGTGTGTAATATATTTTTATTAATTAATGATGTAATTCTAGAGATTTTTAAATGCAGAGCCGAAATGGATAATGGTTGCTTTAAGTATGCTGGGCGTCCCAAGTCCAGCCGAAAATGATGGTGCTTTTTGTTTGTTTATGGTGTGCCTGGGTTGTTTATTCAAAAGTAATTGCTCTTCTTTCTCTATTCTCCGGGATCATTATTGGGGGCTAAACCATTGAAAATGGAACCTCCCTTCCTCTCTCTACGCACCCACACTTTTTTATATACTTGTATCATTGTACGAGTCTTCCCTGGTCCAATTTCTACGATTTAAGTTTATATATATTATATATAACGTGTAAAAGGTCGTTGGGACTCATTTAGACTGTACAAGTCATGGGACTTGGTTTATAGTTATATGATTTTATTCCGATTCTCGTGTGATAAAGCTTTTCTGTCAAGTCACGTACACGCACCCTATAGTATAGGTAAAGTTTCACTAATAATATCTTTCCGAGAGAGGGAATTTTCATATAGGTAAGCCCCTCTCTTGCAATTGTCAATATCAGATCTTTTACTTTTTTGCCCCCTTTTGGATAGAGTTACCCTTTCGTCTGGCCAAAAAAAGTTAAGACTTTAGGCATCTTAAAAAAAAAAAAAAATTTAATGTTTTCTTTTAAAATTTGATTCCCATTCGTGTTAGATGGTTTTGACTTTAAAAATAAAGCTTGGTACTTTACTTTTGATTTTCGCTCTGCTTTCTTTCTTTGATACATTTTTCCCCTGCTTTCTTCCATAGTCTTCTAGCGTGATCCTCTGGCTCTTGGTTTATTGTTGTTGGGACAAGAGCCAATTAGACACTCTTACGCATTTTTGCTTTCTGTTCGGAGTGTTGTATTATTTTTTATTTTAAAACATGTGAAGTATTTTTTTTTTTCAAACCACAATATAAAACATTTTTCAAAAGTTTTATTTCATCTAAAATATAAGATATTAGATAATTTTTTAATTATATTTTTATTTTTTTATTATTTTAAAAACGATACATTAGAATTTTAATTATTATTTTTAAAATATTTATATAAAGTATTTAATGAGAGTAAAATTAAAAATATATTAATTTTTAAAAATTATGGTTTTAATAAATATTTTTTTAGAATAGTCAATTAGTTACCGATGTCTTTATTTTGGTGCAAGGGAGTATGGATTATGGAATGTTGAAAACAATAACCTTTTTTCAACAATAATTTAATAATTCAATGTATTAATTATGTTAGAAGATTTAGTGCAGTCTCTTGTTAAAAAAATATGTATACTGTCCTATTAATTGCAAGCTTTTTGAAAACTTGAGGTTGGAAAACAATATCGGTAAAAATTATGAATTATGATAATGCAGCTTTTTTTTTTCCTATGTGGAATAGCCAAGAAAAAAAGTGAATCAAATTAGCGGAATATGGAGAAAAATGTGGGGAAGTGCATTTTTATACGTTAAGTGATATACTTCATCTCAATTTTTTTTAATAATACACTAGATATCTAGTTACAGAGATGTTATACAAGATAACTAATAGAGTTAGCAATCGAATCACATTATGCAGCTCGAGAGAGATTATAATTTGTATTTATTTGCAACAAGTCAACAATCAAATTTAAGCTTTTATATATGAAGTGAAAGATACTCCCTCCGTTTAAAAAGATAAGATATTTTTAATTAAATCTTACCTTTCAATAAAGTAATTACCTACTTTCAAACTAACCTTATCTTTTTATATTTACCCCTATTAAACACCCTACAATAAATATAAAATTATTATTAATAGGGGTATTTTTAAAAAAAAGATAATGATTACACTTTGAAAGGTTAAAAATATCTTATATTTTTAAATATTTAATTTTTTAAAAAATACTTTATATTTTTAAATGAGGGAATACATGGTTAATTGGTTATTCTGAAATTTCTCAAATTTAATAAAAATATTGAACCAAAATAGATATTTGAAGAATGGGTAATCCAACGACCCAAGAGCTATGGACCAAAGAAACGGCCCGAGGGTCATTAATTGATTTTCTAGCCCAATGTTGGTGAGGCCCGCGCACCGACTCCTTGGGGCTTCATCGTTCCTCGCTGCTGCGATATCTGTACTGCAATACCAAGATGTTTATCCGCCCGGGATTCCCGATTTGAGCAGCAACATCGTCTCCGTTTCACGTGCGTTTTTACGTAAATAATCTGGTTAGGGGTAATGGCTGTGTTGGGGCAAGCAATAGCGTCAACTAGCTTGAGGAACTTGCACTTCAACCCTCAAAGCCCTAGTTCAAGACCTACTGTCCCTTCTGGGATCCAATGCTCTAACCATTCTCTCGCTTCTGTGCCTTCCATCTATTCTCGCTGTTGGAGGCGATTCAAAACGAAGTGGAATGGCCGCTTGAACTGCTCAATGGAAGATTTCAAAGAGCAATCCTATGGCGATGACCATTACAATCAGGTTCGGGCGGCCTACCCTAAGCCCTCGGAGATTCCTTGGCATAAAGAGCTTTGCAACTCCGTCAGTCTCATTGGCATTGTCGCCACCCCCGTTGAAATTAAGCACTTTTCTTCGGGCAAAGTTGTTGCTTGGACCCGCCTCGCCGTCAGGAAAAATGCTACCCGGACATCCTGGTTCCATTTGCATTTCCCAGAATAATTTTATTTTCCAGTATCACTTGACTTCTTCATGATGTCACCTGGATAGTATTTTTGGTTTCTGGTGTACATAGAACGGTGAACTGATATCCTTTCATTTAAGAATGGGTCAGCTAGGATTGTATTCCCTGTTGCCAGTTCCGTTTTATTAGATTCTTTTTAACGAAATTTTTTGTTAGGGATGGTGTTATATGCTTACATGCTCTCAACTGAAGTGACAGGTGATTTTGCTTCTAATTTCTGGCCGGTCCCAATTCCTCATTAAATTTGTTATTCTTTGAAATGTAGGATTAATTTGACGTTCTGGGATGAGCTGGCACATGTTGCTTTTCAGCATTTAGAGAAAGGACACCAAATTTATGTTTCTGGTCGTTTAGTTACAGATACAATTGAAAGTGATGACGGGAAACAGAACACTTACTACAAGGTATAATCTTTAGTTATTTGCTCCATCCGGTCCCTTTTATAAGGCTTTATTAATTACTTTCACGAAATTTAGGAAATTAGTTGGAATTACTTAAATGTCAATTTTTTTTTTTTTACAATTTTCCAAATTGCCATTTGATTGCAAATGTTTCATTAAATTTTGTAAAGGGTCTTGTATTAAGAATCAATTGATAGGGTCTTATAAATAGGACCACAGAGAGTATTAATATTTGTGGCCTTCCCCTGGCAGATCACTAAGTTTTAGATCTTGTGCAGGTGGTTAGTCAGCAACTGAATTTCATTGAAAAGAGCTCCTTCCCATTGTCCTGGCATGACCAGGAGTCTGATTCCATGATGTCTGGCAAGTCTTGCATACTTAGTAGTCTGATTTTCAGGATGTCTAGCAAGGCTTGCTTTGCATATTTATTAAGATGAAGCATCAGCTCCAGTAGTTGTTCTGTTTATTAATTACTTAACTTACCCTTTTTCTGTTGGATGATTTCAGGAAGCAAAGGAAACTACGCTGCAAACAATACTGGCTCTACAGAAGAATTATGGCAGGCATTTTTTGCTAATCCTGTAGAGTGGTGGGACAATAGGAAAAACAAGGTAAACTTTTAAATAAGTAAAGGATACAAAAGGTAGCAATAACATTGTTCCTTTGTGGAATCAGGTGATGGTTTCACCTCTCGATTATCTCATGGCTATCGAATATTGCAACTGTTTAAATTCGTATACCTTTCTTCATTTCCTATGTTAACGTGGTCATGCGTATTATAACTGGGTTGGTTGTCCTAGGCTCTCCACGCTTTCATGTTAGAATATCCTCCTAGTTTCAACATTTCTATGTTCACGTGGCTATGGCATGTTATGACTGTTTTGGCTTCAATGTAAATGGAAGAGTCGTGTGCTCCTAAATTAAGCATGTACCCGAAAAAAATCATCCAAAAATTGTTACCTTGTTTATATTTAGTTCGTTACTTATTTTAGGGGCCTGGCTTGGTATCTAAGCTATAATTCAATGAATCAACATGAATTATGATGGTTTTATCATAGTTGTTCAAAAGATTATTTGTAAACTTCATTGTTTCTTTGCTTGGAGTCTTGGACTAACACGCCAATAACTTAACATTCTGTCTAGCCATGCCTAATTCATATTTCATCTTTTTTTTTTTTGGGTGAACGCTGAAATCGGAATTTTGTTGAACAAAGATCCTGCCTATTTCTTGAATATCCTATATAAACATCTAAGTGTTGATTTTTAATCCTTTGTTATAATTTGCAGAGGAATCCTAAGTATCCTGATTTTAAGCATAAAGATACAGGGGAAGCTCTCTGGGTAGAAGGCAGGTCCAATCCACCATGGGTCAAATCTCAATTGGCAATTCTTGATGCGAGGATGGGGTCCCTTATTGATCAAAGTGGCAATATGTCTGCAAATATGGTGACTGTTGATGAATTATTGTCTTTCTGAGATCTACTTCTGCTAAACATTGATCAATTTAAACTTCGGGAAAATTTTTGTTAGAGCGCTCTAAGTTGATTGAGCCTACCAGGAGCCAGTAAGGCTTAGTTAACAGCAATTTGGTGGGTCGGGTTCATCCTGTTTGGGAAATTTTCAGCACAAGTCCTGTTTAACCGACTTATTGGCCACCAAATTAGTGTTCATACTAATACGCCGACTCGTTTGTATGTATAATATGTATTTGTTTTAATATAATTATTATGTTCTTTTTTCACATATATAACTGTGTCAGGGCAGCTTGTTTCTCATCTCTATCAACTCTCTTTGCCTGACGCCTTAGTTTACCGCTAAGTCTCTTACTACTACTGTCACTCCCAGCATCCCGTTACCCTGTCCTCAAGTCTCCTTTTCGGCTTCTTGAATTTTCACATAAGCTTTGGTTGATGAAAAAAATAATTGATGGTAAAGAGAGCTAAATGTAATGAATGGGGAGAAACTTATGTATGTGGTTCCCTACCTCGTCATGTTTTCAAGTGCTCATGAATTTTTAAGCACAATGCAATATTTTTTACCAGCAAAGAAACGCGATACAATATTCAAAAAAGGTGAAGATTCGGGTATGGACTTCACCCATTCACTAATGTTGGAATAAGTAGGAAAATTGGGGTGTAGAAAAGATGATAATAAACGTGCGAGGGTCATTTTCATGGCATGGTGGCCATTTAGTGACCTTCATTTTCAAGGTTCATTTGTTAAATTTAAGTAAGTGAAGATGGAAGAAACTTTTCAACTGGTATACTATCTACATGTGAGTTGTACTCCATCTACTTCTATATACAAGGCAGTTTATAAAAGCACTTTCATAGTTGTTTACTTGGGACACTAATTTCTCAATGAAACATTAATTTTTTTTTTTTCATGCTTGCTCTTTCTCTGTCCCCTATTCTTTTTTTCCCCCATTTTTCTTTTACTTTGCAATGCAATTGTAACACACATTGAGAGCAATTAAAGGTATGCACAATGAAGACGGGGAGAGAAATTAATTATTAATGGATGTTAAAAGAAATAATTAATGAGAGTATCATTTAACAAAATTAAAGAATTTTCAGACAATAGTACTAAAGTAATTTCGCAAAGTTGAAATAATTTTTAATAAATTTAGACTGCTAGATTTTAATTAACTTTTTTAATCTATGTGAATATATTAAAAATGATATAGGATTATAAGTAGCAAGTGCATCAATAAAAATACTACTAATAATACTAAGTAAAGTTAGCGCGAATGATAAAAATTTATATTATTTAAGTAAATAGTTAGAGGTTTGAATTTAACCCTTACGTATAATAACTTTAGTTGAAGAGGTGCTTTTCATTTTCACTTTTTAGCACTTTGGAGAGTATAATCTTTACTATGGGCAACGAAGCCTACTCATGAAAATATACGTTTGGAAATTCTAAATGTAGATTTTGCACTGAAAAAGTCCACAACTACTTAAATTCATTTACTGAAGATGAAAAATAATGTCCAATAGTAGCTATGAAAATAACTTGTCATGTATGCATGCTTTTGTTATCATTTATCAATTTGTTCAGACATCTTTCCTTGCTCGATAATCTAATAATATATCAGTGTTGTGAAATTTAGAATATTACGTACATAAAAGCAATGAGGGAAGTTAGACGGCCATTAAAAAATATTAGAACATCAAAGAAATATTTTATCTTTTCTGTTTTGCTCCCAATAATATGTGGTTGGACCAATGGTTATTACTCCTCATTGGAAAATGAAGAGTCCAATGATAATTTACAAGAAGTACTTTCGTAACGATTATAAACATTCATGGGAGTTTCCAATATTACTCATATACTTCATTCATCTTTAAATATGAGTAAATTTTAATTGTTTCACACCATATATAAAGATTAGTCTAGTTTAATAATTATGTTTTAGATTAAAATGCTTAACCTTGTCCTAACTAATGATTCTCAATTAGTAGAGTTTTTAAAGAGAAGCAAAATTGGAAATACGGCTTGAATGCATATGAAATTCGGTAATAATTGTTTTAGCTTATCTATAAAAACCACACTTAGGATTTCCTTATAATAAAAAAATGAATGGAGTATTTAATAACAAAGAATTATTTTAATTACAATTGTTGCTTATATTTGACATGAAAATAGTTATAAAGAAATTATCAAAAAAGAAAAAGAAAAAGAAGAAAGTTGTAAACAAAACATCGTTATAAAGAAATTATATTAAATTGTGATCATATTCATGCACTTAATTAAAGCCGTAGTCATCTGTGACTGAGTCACAGGCCAACCAAGGCGTCTGAAATGAAATAGCAGAAATTGGACGCAGACGATATGGGTCATAGCTGCATCGACGTGGAATGAACGCAGACAGCTGTCTGCGGATGCATGTGTTACATGTTTGAGCTTCGTATTTTTGCAGAAACCGATGAATCGGCTTTCGCACTTGAACAGTCAAATTTTTGATGATGTCCGCTGCTTCTGTTTTCCTGCTCTTGAGCCTGCATGTGGACCAAATAATGTTGACCTGTTTGTTTATTAATCTAGCAAGAGGCATGACTAATTCTGTTGTTTGTTTATTATATACACCATTAATGACTACAGGTGTAATTATGGCACAGAGATTGATGAGAAATGCGCAAACCAAACTTGATACAGTTTGGATTCGTGCATTATTAACACAACTTTGGGGGGAAGATGACTGATCTACGATCGGTGTTGGTAACGTGTGGAAGTAGGAGCAGCGAATATATGAACAGGTCAGAGTCCTACATCACAAGCTAGTTGTTGAGATAAGGATTCATGCATTTGGAGATAGCTCTTCGTCATCTGGTTCAGATTTGAACAGTTTCAGGGCACATATGTCCATGCCCTCCCAGCTGTGCAAGACCCCATGCCTTGCTCATGCTCTACTGTTATGGAGTATATAATCAGACAGTGTCCCACCATTACACAGTCTCTCTCTCACTCTCTCTGTAACCACATAAAGTTGATGTTACGTACTCATGCTAGCTCCATAATGTCATTAAAGAGAAGGCTTCTTTTATCACCATTAATTCTTTTTCTTGTAATCCGTCTTTGTTCTTTTATGGGTAGGCCAACCTTCCTATCTTTTTCATTCGCTATTTTGTTGACTAATTATCAGTGCCTTATATGAGGTGGCATAGTCCCCTATATGCCTATTTCTAAAAGACTCAAAGAATATGAGGAGATGTATTTTGTAGAATATATAGGTCATTTTTGTTTTTGTTTTTTGCTTTTGCTTTTGCAAATGATTATCTGTTGAACTGATAAATGTAAATCATCCATTCTGTCATTCAAGATTTTGTACATGTAAAAAATTCATAAATGATAGGATATATTTACAGTTATTATATGCATACAAGCAAATAATTTTGCATGAATGATCACTCTTGCAAATATATGGGATTAATATAATAATAAGTTATAGAGTATTTCAGGAGTCAAACTCAGAAAAAAGCAAAAACTTTATTATTTATAAAAGTAGATAAACTTACACCAGAATAGAAATTGATGAAAAAGGTGCACAGTGCCAAATGCCTTTATTTTCCTTATATAAAAGTAAGGTTAAAAACTCTAATACAAACAATGAATAATCAAAATTACAAAAAAGAATAATAAATACAAATTATAATAGTACTATAAGATATCTATTGAAGGCAAATGGGCTTAGGGTTACGAGACTATAATGGGCCTTCGTCTAGTGGGCTTGTGTGTCAATGCTTTAACGCACTCGCTCAAACAAGAGATTGTGCCTTTCACAAGTTTGAGTTTGTCTCGTAATGTTAGAAAATGGGAGGAACTCATCACCTTTGTGATTAAGTCTGCTATATTCTTTCACCAAGGAACATACCGAACTAGAAGCTTTCGATCAATCATTCTATTTCTAATAAAATGAACATCAAGTTCCATATGCTTGGTTTGAGTGTGATATGTAATATTTACCTTGACATTATCAGAACACAGTACAAAACATCATTATGGTAACTAAGATTAAGATAGTTCCTTATATTAGGTTAGTATAACACAAGGGCTTATGAAAAATTAGTTTAAAAGTTGGGATCCTAAGAAACCCTTTTTGAAATGATGTTTGAGCTCAAACGATAGTTTAAAACAAGTTTAAAGAAATAATGGAAGCATGAGAACATAGATTAATACATATAAAAATCAAAGAAGGACAATTTAGACACCTTTCAAATTGCATTGCCTATTGCAGTGTATATGTCATTAGCTGTAGCGGATGGCATAGAGAGGAGAGTCCTCTTGTTGTATAGTGCACTGTAGCACACAAGCCCTGTGTTGTGGCACATTGTTGTTATCATGATAACACCTTTGGCTAACTTACAAAATGTTTTATTTTGCCATATGACGTTCGATTTGAGCAATTCAAATGTTCACATATAACTCTTTAAGGTGCTTAATTATTGGTACTAGTTTTACAACCAAACATTTTACCATTTAAAAGTTGGACATTCGGACCCCTTTTTCCTTCAAAACTCACCCCAAGGTGTTTAAAACCATCAACCAAGTGTTAATAATCCTATAACTACTTGAACCAACTCAATTAGACTATAATACATCCAATTGAGCAATTACAAAACTACAATTATGTTCCATATATAATTTGGCTATCTAAAACCTCGATTTCACAATAATCAAGGGGCATGGGCAAACATCTCACATAACAATCCCAACCAATCATGCACATATAATTAACTCAACAACTACACTTACATTAGTATTTCAGCTTCTAACAACAATTTTTAGTTCAAATACAACATCTTAAATCAAAATACACCAAAATAACATAAATCCTTATGCAAGTGAACTCAAAACAACATATATTCCTAAATTGGCATATTAATACAAATAATTCATTACAAAATACTAAAAGAGAAAGGAAGAAAAAACTATACAAACTTAAGATCCTCAAACCACAACAGAATTTTCCTCCCCTTTGCCTTTGTAAAGTCTTTACTTTTAAAATATAACTATGAGGGTGAGTCGAAAACTCAGTAATCAAATAATCTAATCTATTTATAAATATATGAGAATGGCATATGAGTGTGTGAAGTGGCGAGTAAAACATTTATCAAATACTTAAAGAAACATTTTTATCATATATTAATCCATACAATGCATGAACGACATTCTCCACCTTAAATCCTCCGATTGAATTTGTAGGCTAATAACATAATAAGACTGAGTCTATGTAACTGGACTGGCCTA